CAGTGTCAAAGGAAGGCAGCTTGGGGTGGAGGAGCAAAGGGGCTCTTGTGTCCTCTCTGGAGCCCAGCTGTCCCTTGTGTGGTTTCTTATGGTTAAGGTGTAGGGATGTTGCAGAAGAGCTATGGGTGATCTGATGCTGGACTGCAGTTTTGTTTGTGTGTGTATATATATATATGTGGTTATGTAACTCTTAAGGTTATCGAAATGGATGGCACTTACTTAGAAGAAAGATGTAGAAAGAGACTGCTGCATTATATTTAGAAAGAATCAGAGATAGTCACTTTCTAATTGCAAAGTAAGTGGCAAAAGTGCAATGAATGTAAACTTTTTTTTTTCCCTCATTCTAAAGTAGCCAACAGCAAAAGAGTGAGCAGAGGTACTGTGGCTTTGTGTGAAGTTTTGCACTACCTCCATATTGTCTTCTAAGGGAAAGCTTTTGGTTTTTTCATGTAGATGGAAGTACTTAAAGATTCAGGTGTTTCTGTTTTGTCTCGCTTTATAAATCCTTATAAGACTTGGGGTGTCTGTTTTCTCACAAGCTTTGCTGAAGTTTCTGAGCTAGTAGCTTTTATTTTTTTCTTTATTCTTTTTCTGTATCCTTCTCCCCCGCCAGGAGATTGTAAGTGGGGAGAGCGAGGAGGAAAGTAATGGCGTCAACTTGATGGAGTTCTCGGATGAGATCCTTTTGCACATCCTCAGCTACGTCCCTTGCACAGACCTTGTCCTGAACGTCAGGAGAACCTGCAGGAAACTCGCAACGCTTTGCCTTGACAAGAGTCTAACCCATACGGTTTTACTTCAGAAAGACTATAAGGTGGGGAGAGTAGCTTGCTTCTTCTGTTAGCTATGAAGACAAATCTGACTTCTGAAAAAATGCCAAGAAGTAGAACTTTCCAATGTGTCTGCATAAATGAACTGCTCTTGAACTCTGAAATCAAATAAACAATAAACTGTTTTATAAAAGCATTTGTTTTCCAGAATGCTTTGTTAGAACAGCTCTGTGCTCCCTTAGTTATATAAAACACTGTCAGTGAAAACTATCTTCTCTGTGTTTCTGGAAGCTAAAATGAAAGTAAATGTGACTTTCCGTTTGTAGCTGTGCTTGTGTAAAGTTATCGTTTTCTCAAAATACATTTTCCATGTTGTTGTGCAAAAAAACTCTTGTGCATATTGCTGTTGGGCATGCAGTCAGCTAAGCCAGAAATTGTATATGTGCTATAACAAAAATAAAGCTTGGGAATGAAGGGTGATATGTTTTATAAGGACTGTATCACCAAGCGCAGGCAAGGGGGAAGCCTCTCTTATTCATTTCCAAAAGAGGAAACTGGATGAAGGAGAATGGAAACATTCTCCTTTCAATTTGAGTTTCCATAGATAGCTAGTTCTGCTTTGCTCTTAGAAAATGGAGATGTTCCTCCATTCCACTACCAGTTGCTGAACAGATTTAGCCTCACAGTCAGTAATGCAGAACTGCACAGACTAAGAAGCTAAAGGAAGTGTAGTCTTAAGAGTCCAAAGCATGGCAGACCAAGCCAGCTACCAGCAGTATAATAATTCTTAGGCTGTGTTAGCGTCCTGAGACCTTTGGATGAGCCATGTAATCTAAGTGCTAACCACTGTTATCCCCATCTTCAGATGGGAAACTGAGTCAGTACACACCATTGCCATATATCTCATTGAATCTGGTTTTGTTTGAGTACAGGTAAACAAAGACAAAGTGAAGCAACTGATGAGGGATATCGGAAAAGAGATTTACCAGCTGAACATGGCTGGGTGCTATTGGCTGCCCAGCTCCACTATTGATCACGTAACACGATGCAAGAACCTGGTAAAACTGAACTTGTCTGGGTGCCACATCACCTCTCTCCGTCTCTCAAAGATGCTGTCCACGCTCCAGCACCTGCGTTCCCTGGCGATAGATGTAAACCCGGGTTTCGATGCCAGTCAGCTAAGCAGTGAGTGCAAAGCCACTCTTAGCCGTGTCTCGGAATTGAAGCAAACCCTTTACACGCCGTCATATGGTGTTGTTCCGTGCTGCACGAGCCTTGAGAAACTGCTGCTTTATTTTGAGATCCTCGATCGCTCGCGAGAAGGTTTTATGCTCTCTGGGCAGCTAATGGTAGGTGAGAGCAATGTGCCCCATTACCAGAACCTCCGCGTCTTCTATGCCAGGCTGGCTCCTGGCTACGTTAATCAGGAGGTGGTGAGGCTGTACTTGGCAGTGCTAAGTGATCGGACACCCGAGAACCTTCATGCCTTCCTTATTTCTGCCCCCGGTAGCTTTGCGGAGACGGGAGCCACTAAAAACCTCCTGGACTCTATGGCTCGAAATGTACGTCTGGATGCTTTACAATTGCCCAAAGCCTGGATTAATGGCTCTGGGCTCCTGCAACACTTGAAGTTCAACAACCCTTTCTACTTCAGCTTTAGCCGATGCACCTTATCTGGTGGTCACCTGATCCAAAGGGTTATTAATGGTGGGAAGGATCTTAAAAGCTTGACCAGTTTGAATCTCAGTGGCTGCGTTCACTGTCTGGCTCCAGAGTCCTTGTTTCGAAAAGCGGAAGATGACATTGACAGCAGCATTCTGGAAAGCCTGGTAGTGTCTTGCTGCAACCTGAGACACCTCAACCTCTCTGCAGCTCACCATCACAGCTCAGAAAGCATAGGGAATCACTTGTGCCAGCTTCTGTCCAGGCTAAAGCACCTGCTCTCATTAGCACTACCAGTTTGCTCCATCACAGATGTTGCTGCAAATGTGGAAAAGCCTCCCACGGCCTCTAACTTGGTGCCCCAAACATTTGGAAGGAAAGTGCGGATTGGAATACAGACATATCCAAGGAACTTAGCAGACCAGGCAAATCAGAAGATAGAGTCTTCAGTATTCTGGGCTCTGATGGCAAGCCTCCGATTTTTGGAAACCTTGGAAATAATTGGGTCCAGTTTTTCCTCTGCCATGCCCCGCAATGAGCCAGCAATTCGGAACTCATTGCCTCCTTGTGTCCGGGCACAAAGCGTGGGGGATTCGGAGGTGGCTGCCATTAGCCAATTGACTTACTTGCAGAGCCTCACCTTAGCACAACTGCCAAATATTCTTACTGGCTCTGGGCTTATTAGTATTGGATTGCAGTGCCAGCATTTGCGGACTCTTTCGTTGGCCAACCTGGGCATGATGGGGAAAGTGGTTTATATGTCTGCTCTCATGGACATGCTGAAACACTGCAAGTGTTTAAAAGATCTCAGGTGAGGGGCAGCTGTTGAATGTCTCTATTTTGTTTGTGGATCTCCAGAAATGTAGTGCGTGGTTTGTTGTGGCTAGTGTTAAAACTGTGAGTGTTCCTGTTCTGGTCAAAAGTAGCTGTGATGGCTTGAAAACTGGGTATTTGCCTTCCTGACTTGTGGAGAACAAGAAGGCATCGCATGCTGTCCTTGAGGGCTCAGGATATGCCCTTTAACCACAGTTTTAAGAGCAAAAAGTCTCTATGCTGCAACTGCCTTCCTTTTAGATAAGGAAGAGTGGATGCTGCATATTTGGGAGCAAGCAGCCTGTCAGGGTAGGTTAAATGCTACATGCCTTTGCTGACTTTTTGGCTTTGTGTACACGTACATCTCTTCAATTTCCAGGAAGGAAGAGACTCCTACAACGTCTAGATAATGTAGCGTTCTCCTTAGGTTTCCCAATGAGATATTTTTCTGCCTTTGGTTTGTATTAAAATCTTGCCTCTTTATTTTTTTATTTCTTTTTCTTTTCTTGATAATATATTGAAAACATTCCAAATTCAGAGTTTGTCCTGTTGGTGTTCCTTTCCTGGTAGGATTTAAGGGATCCTACCAAGGATCTGATCCTAAAGGGTGCATAAAGGAGCTTCACAGTAGCCAAAATGTGCTTATGAAAGCAAAGGGCACGAACCATGATGGTTTCTTTGCACCAGTCCATGTGAACACAAATGTTATTACTTTAGGAAGATGCTTTTTTCCTCCTTTTTTCCCTAAATCAGCTTCTCTTAGTGAAACTGCTAGACCTGTCAGTCCTGTTGTCATCATCTGTTCACAAAATGGATCTAACATGCCTAACAGTACTAACAGCAAGGTCACTCCTGTGATCACAAAGACAGTGTGACTAAAATTATTGCTCATCAGCTGAGACTGGTGTTTGTGTGCATGTTCCTGATCCATTGCAATAGTGAAGGGAGCCAGGGTGGCTAAAACACCTCAGGAGGGTTTTCATTTTCCATCGCTTCCCATTTATAACAGGCAGAGAGCGCGTTGGTCTCTCATCCAAGGGATGGCAGCTGTTGGAAGTTCAGTTGCTTAATGGCTTGGGTCATGCGAATGAATCTTGAACCTTCAGGAGACTAAATAGCAATGGAAGAACTAAGATCTGGGGAATGAGGTTTGGGTGCGCAGTGCTGCTTCACTCAGTCTAGGCCCTGTAGTTTCCAGAGACTTTGAAATGGAGGCCAAAAGCAAAAAAGATGAGAGGCAGCGTAGAGCCTTGAATAAAGGATGAACAAGGGTGTCTCGATGTAAGCTGTCATTGTTCTTTCTTGAGTAAAGTCTAAGGTTTTACATAGGTTTAAGAGGATTTTAATGTTTAGCACTTCCTCCTGATAATGTAGTTTCCTTTCCATTTGACTAATTCTCTGCTGCTTCTACCCTTTTTTCCCCTCCCCGTTTTACAGGCTGAGAAGCTAATTTAAGGGGATATTCCAAAGCAACATTGTCATCTAGCGAGTGAAAGGCAGTATTGCAAGTGTGGCTGTCGTGTCAGAGATTAACCTAGAAAGCTGCTGTGAGGTTGCAGGGGCATCTGTGCTTTTTGTCCTAAACTTAAAAGGGACCAATAATGCTGTTGAACAATTGGAGAGGCTTCCCATTTCCTTAACGTTAATTTTAAGCTATTACCCAAAGCACTCGTGGGTTGTTAGGATCTCTTCAGCCAATGCTACCTGACCAGCAGTTGCAGGCTGAGACTCTAAACCAGAATTTATCAATTAACAGGATTAAGTTGCTGAGATACCCCCGTGTACTACAAAAGCCTATGCAGAGATTATCCAGATCAGGTTGGGACCAACAGCTTGTTATCGCCTAATGGATTAACCTTCTTGGAGCTCTTGGTCTTGCTGACCCAATGACTGCGATTCCCAACTGCTCTGAGGCCCTGTAGTAAATCTGCACTAAGCAGACGTACTCTCCTGGTGACACCGGCCCTGAGCAGGTTCTGCTTTCTGCAGGCTGGTTTCTGTGAGGGAGTCATCCAGTTATGCTGCTAGTTAAAACATGGACCCTTTGTTGGTCAGGTATGGCTTCACCGTGTCATTTTGTTGTCCTGATCTGGGCTGTGATGTAATATTGTGGATTGTCACAAGAGAGGATCCTGTCTCTTCTCTGGGCCGAGTGTTTAAGTTAAAGGTTGAATTGCTGATGGTTCTACTTCCTGTGGGAGAGCAGTAGCTTTGATCCTTTGCCATCCTCCGACCCAAGAAGGCTGGTTGTGGTCACTCTGTTGGCTCAGAGGCCCAAGTTCTGCATCACCGTGTGTGCATTGTGAATTTTTTATGCCTGCTTCTCTCTAGGCAGTAAACTGAAGATGACCAGTTTGATCAGTGTTTGGTGCACTGGAGCAGTAAGTCCCTAAATCCACATCACCTGCTCGGTGGATGTCAGGTAGCAAAAGCCAGGCTGTGCTTGTCTAAGACCAGAATGGATCAGCTGGTCAGATCTAAGACCCGTCTTAACACGCTTTGTAGAAAACTTGCAAAACCAGGGTTGCTCCCTGTGGGTGCTGGAATTCTGCAGTTTAGGGCCTTTCTGCCTATTTGTGTCCTTGGCCTTTAGCACATGCCGTTGAAGAGTAATGAGCAAGCAAGAGGTCTGAGCTTGCAATGTCAGGTCTGTTATGGCATACCGCTGGCACAAGCAGGTAGAAGGTTATCGCATGTGTAGGTGAAACAGGCGGTGGGGGACACTGGTTCCTCCATCTGCCAGCCCCCCCATGAATGTGCTGTCTTCCCTCTTGTCTGAAAGTGTCCCAAGCATGAATTGCCCATTGACTTGTTTTTGTTTATTCTTGCAGGCTGGAACAGCCGTACTTCTGTGCGGGTGCCCAGTTCTTCCAGGCATTGAGTCATTGCTCCTCTCTCCAGCGGCTTTGCATCGTCTCCCGGAGTGGGACTCTGCAATCTGACGCAGTGATGTCATTCATGGCCAACTGCCTTGAGGTCATCATGTGCCACATGTTTATGGGAGAATCTCTTACCGTTTGCAAAAATCTCCAGCAGTCTATTGTCCGGAGGTGAGTGCGGAAAGGGGTTGATGTGGGATTTCTGGAGCTGTTGAAGATTTATCTCCATTTTCTTGCTTGCCAAGGTTTATATGGCTTGGAGCACTTGTTCCAAGAAGCTAATAGGTACTGTGTAACCGCTTGGCACATGAACTAGCCTCTTATTTTAATAAGAGTGAATCAGTGAAATATTTGAAGGTATTATATGAATTTTTGATTTCATTCCCACCCATGTTCTCTGCAGTTCTGTTGGCTGAGTTTAAGTTCTGGATGTAAAGCTCCATCATAAATCAAATGACACTTCTCGTGTAAACAAAACATCTGCCGACATTTTAAGTACTGAGATTTGACCTTGAAGCTTTCCTCCTTTCCCACAAGTGACTAAGATAATTCTCTGTCCTCTAATCACTTGTAAATGTCACTTACTGATAATCCCCTGGCAGCGCAATTCAAAGCTTTTAAAGGGTTGTTGTGAAGGGTTTTTCTTCGGGGGGTGGGGGAGAATTGGTACAAACTGCCTTTGCACGTTTGGCAGTTCTTAAATGCATTTTGCTTGGCCCCTTGCAGTGTTCTGAGGCTCACGTGGTGGGAAACGTTTGTGTGCGAGCCGTGAACTGCATTTGAAAAGAGAGCTTTTAATTACGCTTGGCTTGAAATCTTCTAATAGTGGCAGTCATCTTACAAAATATTTCCCATGCAACAGACTTTCCATTATTTTTTTTTTTCTATAAGGCTTTTTCTCCGCCTTCAGTCTGTTTTCTTTGTCACCTACTGTTGCTTTGCCCTGTTAAGCTCTAATAAAAATTTCAAATCACACGGCATTATTACTGCATCCTAAAGGGTGCTCCTCCCCCCCCAGCCTTTCTCCAGCTTCAAACTGACTTATTACACTTGGCTTGTTTCCGCGGATCAAATCCAGAAAAGCCTATGACTATATTAGCTACCTACCAAACTGCACACGAGATTGTTTGTTACAGCCTCTAAAAGGCTCTGTGTCCTTCTGGGATAGTGATTGTTGGAAACATCTAAGTAAATTCCTTGTGATGTGACAAGGATTCTTTGAGTTTGTTTTTCACAGGGCTTCATATCAGTAAAAACATTTCTTGGTGGATTTCAGTTGTGCTTTGGGGATCCTTAGAAAGAATCAAGAATCCGCAGTTCCCATGTTTTATTTTGCTGTCCCCTCTGAGATGCCATTGCAGCACTGGCCAAAATTTTCATGTCCACTTACTGAACAGAAATACGCTGTTCTGCAGTCTTTTCTGCCTCTTTTTCTCTGTCGTGGATGGATTCTTACTACATTCTGTACCTCTTAATAATTTAAACCCTGGGAACTTTCCAAAGAGCAGCTGATGCCTCGTGGAAATGTTAAAAACTATTTTTATATTTAACAACAGTTCTGGCTGTCATACTATTTTTCTTCTTTTGTATTTTATTAATAGAGACGTTTGTATGAAAACAGGATTTTTTGAAGTTGTGGGTTTTTTTTCCTGAAGAGAGCATCTGCTCCCACTGCAAATTCTACACCTGAAGTCATAATCCTCTATGACATTGTAATTGGTGGCTCTGGAAACGATTTTGATGTCACATAAGATTATGACTTCAGGAGGAGGATAAGCAGTGGGAGCAGATGCTCTCCTAAGCAACAAAGATCCCGTTCTCATGCAACTGTCTCTAGTAATAAAATGGAAGGAACAAAATACAGAAAATGATGTGTAAGCAAAGCCTGGAGTCTTCCACGAGCCATCAGTAGTCTTTAACCACATGACTTTTCCAGTGATCCCGTTCTCATCCTTGCACAAAGGTGCCTTCAGATGGGGTCAGGAATTGACTTTCTCTTGATGGCGTTTTGTCTACTACTCCAAGGGCAAAGAGACGTGCAGTAAAATCCATGTGTGAGCTAGTTCATTGCTTAAACCTGTGGATAAGGCCCCAATTCACACAGCATGGCTTCCTCTAAAAATGTGCTGCTAGTGTCTCTTTAATCCAAGTTTTAAATTGGAAGAGCCCATTGGGCAGCAAGTTTGAAGTTATATATCCTTGTGCGAGAATGAAATAAGGCGATTTATCTTTTTTGTTTGTTTGTTTGGTGGGTTTTTTTTTTTGTTGTTGTTGTTGTTTGGAATGTGTGCAGATGCTGCGTGTGCGGGGAAAACATGGAGAGTGGGTGGGAAGGAGGAGGCAAGAGCAGGGAAGGCAAGGCTGTGAGCCTTTGTTTGTTCCCTTTCTTGAGCTGGGGGAATCGATCCATACTCCTCCGGTCCCATTAAGGGTTAGAGTTCCTGTTTTAGGGCTACGGAGGTGGTCTTGTTTAGTTTGAGAGCAGCCAAGTGATTGCTGGTTTTGAACAAGGCAATGGGGCCAAAGTGACTCCCATTCTCCCAATGCCTCTAAAAAGAGAAGAAATGTGAGTGGGAACTGGAAAGGCCTAGGGCTGGGCATGCAACAGTAGTTTGCTGCAGGTGGAGGAGCTAGGAGGGCTTGAAAATGCAATCTAGTGCAGTGCAATCCTTTTTCAGACATGGATACACAGGAGGGTTTGTGTCACAGAAGAGGCTGGGACCCATTTGGGGAGAACAGACTGGTTTCAGCTGCAGAGTTGTACTGGAAGATGGTGTATATGCAGGGTGTGGTGATGGGAGCTTGGGTATTAAATCTCCTGCATCACACTGATGGCTTAAAGCCTGAACTGATTCTCAAACTCTTCCCTTTGACTGTAAAATAAGGTTAGTATTATGTATTTCTGTTCTACTGGCCCGAAGAGAGTTGTTCTCATGTCTGTTAGTCTTGTGACAGCTCTGAACCAGGCCCTGTGGTGTCCAGCTTTCTTGCGGCCAGTTTTCTGGTTCAAGTTTGCTGCTATTTGGGACAAAGTAGTTTATATATTTAAGTCATTAAAAGCTTCTGATTCAGTTCTGCCTCTTTTGCAAGGAAACACAGTAAGCATAACAGCACTCATCTGGAGCCCTCATCAGCAAACGAGGCTTGCAAGGGCAAGGTCTCCTCTGAGCTTTAGAGAAGACTGTTTCCCTCTGGGCAGATAAATCATTGCAGTGTTTTTCTTTATTCTTTTTTCTTCTGTGTGAATGGGAGGGGTAATCTCCTTTATGGTTCAGGGAGATACTCTGTGCACAGGGCCTGGTGGTTAGTGTGGGAGATGTGGCTTGAGTGATCCATATCCACTTCCCTGATCTTCTTCAGATTTCACATGTGACAGTGGTCTAGTCTCAGTTTCTCTGTAAAATGACATTTTTTTTCCCCATCACATGGTGCTCAGCTGCTGCCACACTTCAGATAGTAGCGCATCTACCAATCACAATGTTTTCCCTTTTATGCTTGGACCTTAACTTTGCCAAAGTGCTTAGCTCCAAGAGCGTGTTGTCTTTGTTTAAATAACTCTTCTGTTAAAACCACTGCAGCTGTAATTCCAGAAACACTAAAATACCACAATTCGAGGACGCACGGTTGTAGGCTCAAGTGTGACCCCAGACCTGTTGCTGTACAAAGAGGCCTCTTTGCAGAAAAGGGAGATGTGCTTCTCCCTTTTGGGCTGAGTTACTGTGCTGGGATTCTTTCTAAATGCTTGCAAAGAGCCGTGTGTCCAAAGCCCAGTCCGAGGGGATGGGGCTTGCTTCGAACAGCTTTCCCCGAGTGTTTCCACTCTGTTATTTTGTGAAATAGTCAGTAGATGGAGCTGTGACCTATGGAAGGTGTCCTACTGCTTACTGATGTGTTGCATGCTAAATAATCTTATTTATACGCCTGTATTTCTCTGCCCCAGAAATCTTACAGGCAAGGAATTTGGATGACTTAAGGGTTGCACGGCTACATGGCGTGGTTAGTGGGCACTTCACAAATGTACCGGAGAAGTTGCTTTCCTGGTGAAGCTTACCAGCAGAAAACAGACTGGAAGAAGGGATGGAAAATGCTTTGGCAAATATCCCCTTGGCCTCAAGGACAGACTTTATTTTCCAGTGTGTTTCTTTAGAATTTTGTCGGGTTTAGCTTAAGTGTTTAGATAGCTCCTATCATTGTAATGATTTCAAGGACTCTACAACACCAGACAATACAAGCCTGTGAAAAGTCCTTGAAAAAACACCTTGGAAAAGATCAAGAAAGCAACAGTAAAAAAAAAAAAACCCAAAACCGAAGCAGAGCAAAAAAATCTCTGAGAGCGTGATGTCATTAGGGATTCTTCATACATAGGGGGAAAGTGTCAAGGCATAGAGGTGAGTTGTGATTTATAGAAATGCAATCCCAGTTAAGCCATGGTGGAGAGCGTGGTCAGGAAGCAAAAGATTGCAGTGCAGCTGAAGTGTGTTTTTGGGGAGGTGGGTGGGTAGCTGGGCTCAGCTGCTGCCATCTCCCAGAAGCGCTGTTGTCATCTCCTGGGGTCTGATAGCTGTTGGGAGAAGGTGCAGAGGGCTGGGGCTGGCTGGGGTCCTGGTGCAGCAACCCCCAAGCGCTGCAGGGTGGGGAGTCGGGGGCTGGCAGCCCTCGCTCAAGCTCTCTGCCCCTGTTCCCCGAGTCACGTTGGCTACCTGTCTCCGGCACATGGCTTTGCAGAGCGAGTGTGTGACTTGGGTGACCCTGAGGGTTAGCCAGTGCTGGCAAGTGCAGAGAATTTTACTGGTTTAGGACAATCTCCCTGTTCTGGGGATCCAAGACCCAGAGAAAGCGGAACACTAACTTAACATTCCTTCTTCTGCTGGTGTCAGGTATGAGCACCGCTTGGTTTGAAGTGACTTTCACAATAGGACTCCTGCCACTTTCCAGGAAGAGCTATTTCAGTCTGAATTAGATCTTACTATTCAAGCTTCTGTAGCATTACCTAAATTTTCCCCTCCTTGTTATTGTCCTTTTTTAATGTGAAACTCTTGGCTGAATCTTACCTTTTCTTCAACTGCTGATTCCAGTGGCACTGTGTGGCTGAGAGCGCCATGATGCTCACTGAAGGAGTGAGGCATCCCCCTGGGATTCAGTTGCAGAACTAGGGCTTCCAGGTGGGAGCA